CCCCCTAAATCCAGAGTATGTTTTCAAGGTCTCTTCTAAAATGATAACCTTCATATGAGTCACAGGAAGCTAAGAACATCTCTGGATTAGTCTGGCTTCAGTGAGGTTAAACGCAGCAACAGTATGCCTACAAAGAGATACGATAAGCAGTTATAATGGGTATCACTGAATACAGCACCAAATATAAATCAAAACTAACAAATGCCCTCCCCCACAAACGCTCTCAAGTTCAGTGCCTTGAATTTAATTATTATAGCAAATGGTAATATAACAAGAGTGTCTACTGTCAGGAAAAAAAAATGTTTAAAACAGATGTGAACCATACAAAGCATATGTAAAACACATGTGATCCACAGCGAGGTCACAGGACCCACTGACAGAACACATGTGGAGTACGTGAACCACATATGGACACATGTTGCAAAATCACGTTTCTGTTCAATGCCGAGACTCATATCGTATTCTAAAGAAATCAGGGGCTCTTAAATAAACTTTGTACTTCTTAAGGTAAATGGATACATTTTTGTTTAAAATCCCTTAGTGTAGGCAGACAAGGGTCCTCAAATCTAATACTGGGCTTGAAAGTACTCAAATCCTTGTTTCACTCCTGTTTTCCTATCCCAGGGTGATTCAGTTGATTATTCTCAGGGAATGAAGATTTCTTCCTTGCGCACAGCTAATTCTTTGAGGATGCCATAGCTTATAATGAAACCTAAGCAAACAGAGCCTAAGTGTGTGAACTAGGAGGAACTGTGGTTTGAATGGGCTTTTTCTTTCCTAAAACACTCAAACTAGCAAGGCATTGCTGCCTTACCTTATGTATCTGGAATAGAATTAAAATCTTCTATACTTACAAAAAATCATCAGCATAAAAATTCCAGAATAACATTTATTTTATATTATAATTTGGGGGAATAAAATATTAACCATATAATTTAAAGTGAATATGAAAAGTCTCATATATACATGGAAATAAGCACAAGTATATCATTTTCTAGTGTGAAAACAGTAACAGTGCCTTATGCATAGGCATTAATTTAATTAGACTCAATATATTATTTCATTTGGTCCTCCTCACAGCCCTGAAGAAATGTAGTGCAACTAGAATTCAGTAAGGCAACTACATGGTATTTAAAAAGAACCTAAGAGAGTGGCATGAACATATATACACCACCAAATGTAAAATAGATAGCTAGTGGGAAGCAGCCGCATAGCACAGGAAGATCAGCTCGGTGCTTTGTGACCACCTAGAGGGTGGGATAGGGAGGGTGGGAGGGAGAGGCAAGATCCCCCATATATGGGGATATATGTATATGTATAGCTGATCCACTTTGTTATACAGCAGAAACTAACACACCATTGTAAAGCAATTATACTCCAATAAAGATGTTAAAAAAAAAAGAACCTAAGATATAAGAACAAATGAGAGAAGTAAAAATTCTTCTCCCTGAGCTGTTAAACTGTGGCTTCCAACAAGTGATACACTTTTTTTGAGGTTCAGTTTTTAATACAGAAACATGGGGATTATACAATTGCTAACTTAATATGCTTGTTGTAAATTACCCAACTATTATATGCAAAATCATATTGTAAATGCAAAGATATTACATGTATAGGTGTTAGCTATTTCCGCTGACAATTTACATATGAGAAACACTGAGATTCAGAAAGGTAAGTTGATTGTCACATGACTAGTAATTAGTAGGCCTAAGATAAGAAAATAGATAGTTTTGCTTAAGAGTCCCCCATTCTCTTCCAAAAGGCAAAGCTAAGCAGAATATATTTCTCATTAACAGGACATTCATTCTACTTCTACCTCAATAGACAAGCATTGATATCACAGATAATCATTATTATAATAATGCCACATTCACATTTATAGCATTTTACATTTTCAATGTAAAGCATGATCCAGTGAGCATTTGTCTCTTCCATTTCAGGGAAATTACCTCCTTTCTAAAGATTACTAAATTAAGGTTCTAAGAACACAGTAAATAGGTTGCTTGAATTTGTATGCTTGTTAAGAAACAACATTAAGAATCTAATTCAAGAGATGAAATTTGAAGTCCAGTAATTATTTTCCATTAAACTAAAATTTTAAATATATAATTGGCAGGCTCTCAATATTGTGTTTTTGTATAATTATATCCAAAACAGTGTTTCTATTGATGCTGCTATTAAAAATGAGTGTATGATGGAAGAAAATCATGGCATTAAGGAGGAGAAATTTTACCACTGAATGAAATGAAAGATTTTACTTTCTTATTGATTTTGGCAAAATGCAGTAGACTATCCAGCATGGCCTGAAAAGACAGAGCTCCAAGCTGCTTACTGATTTCAGATGTATCCGTTACCTACTGTTTATCGTTGTTTTTGAAAGTGTCATTCTATTATACCTTAAGATTTTAAAAATATGTTTCTTAGTTACATTTTTTAGCTGTAATTTCTTTGTTAGCATGACTTTCCCCTTTAAACCTGGCTCACTGCCATCCACACTTCAAGACAGAATTCTGATATCACTTCTGTGAACCCTTCCTGGAGGATCCTAGACAGAATTGTTTCCATCTTTCCATTGTACTTGCTGCATTGTGTTACAGTCGATTGTTTGCATGTCTATGTTTTATCTCTTCTAGTCTGAAAATTCCTCAAGAGTGGAGTCATTATTTTTATTAACTTTGTATCCACAGTGCTTTGTAAAGCTATTTAAAATGGCAATTCTGAGGAAGTAGAAAATAAGTGAATGAATGAATGAATAATATATTGCTGCTTTTCCTTTTTGGAATTAGTTGACTTAGAGGCTTACACACTCAGTTCAGGTGCAATGTCTTGGCCAGCCACATACCGTACTAAACTATTTCCACCCTAAAAGAAAATATTATAATTCAAATAGCCACTGGAGTTTTGTTCATTCCTATTAAATTGTCTATTTATGAAACATCCCTTCAAATAATCAGCGAAGTAGTGTGCCTCTTCTTTTAGATGATTCTATATTACACGTATTATAATTTTTCATGAGACACTCCCCCTGACACTAGAAAGAATCTTTATGTCAGACTAACATAGAGAATTGTAGACAATATCACTAAACTGGGTCTGGAATTATTTTTCTGGATTTTGACACTAGATTATACACACACTTTTATCATACGCTGCATCTCCATTGGAAATACAAAAAAAAGGGGTAATCTTTTGTCATTCCAATTTGCCACCAGCCATTGACATTTCTCTATTAGAGATGTGGAGCTGAAAATGTGAGTCTCACCCCTTTTTGTCTTATCTTAATGAACCACAAGGAATGAGAATCACTCAATATTTTGGCTGTACACTCTCTACCATGTGCAAGGCAGACACAGTGTCAGCCAGCCCTTCAAAGGGTATGCAGATCTCGCATGCTTTCACATTTGATCAATACAAATCTGACAGTCTGCTACTTAGCTTCTTTCAAGGCTGAGTCTCACACATGAAAACAGGAGTAAGGTTCTCAACTCAATCAAAACTGATTGTTCTATTCCTCTCTTCCCATCTAATCCTCTACCCATCTACGCACATCCACGAGACACAAATATGACAAATATGTTTTAAAACCCTTTCTTGTATGTAAGGTGAGGTCCAAACTACTTTTGTACACAGACATGGTTTGTTCAATCTAGACTCTTACCTATCTCATCATGGTTACCTTTAACCACTTTTTTTCTGCCCCTTCTTATTCACCTTTATTCTCCAGCCACATGAAGTTCTTACAGCTTTTGAAACGTGATATCTACGTGATTTGCCTGACTTGTCCTATCTCTACCTCTGCTTGTAAAAATTCTTACTGATCCTTCAAAAATCAACTGAAATATCATAGAATATCTTCCTTTTCATGCTTTCAGAGGACCTTTTACTACTCCTCTGGAAGAAATTGTCACTTTGTAATAAAATTATTTGCTTATGCCCCCTATTTTGCACAAGATTGGTGCATTTATGAAGGTAATATCATATGCATATTTCCTATACCTCTACATTCACCCACTGGTTAAAATAGTATATGGTAAGAGCTTGAAAGATTAAAAGAAGCAATGGAGGGGAGGGAGTAGATGATCTTATTTCAAAAGGAGCCATTAATGCACACATCTCAAAACAGGCTTCGAAATCAAATATAGAATTTGTCCTTCTTAATCTTTAGGGATTCTTTTTTAGATAAGGATGCACCTGAAGACAAGGAATATACTGTGGATTCTGAATGTCTGTTTCCATCTTATAGAGCAGCTGCTTATAGAGCATCTTATAGAGCAGTTTCCCCTTATAGAGGGGTTTTAGGTACCCCGGTTACTGCAACAGTTAATGATTCTTAACTTCTATTTTTATTATGACATGATCAGCTCCCAATATTAGACCAACTACTAAAGCCAATAATACTTGTATTTATCATTTTTCTTTGTGTTCTTTATTATCAAAGCTGATTTATCACTGAATTTTGGTTTCCTTATGCAATCAGGAGGGTGGACCCCATGAACACATCTTGGGATGATATCAGCCAAATGTAGCATAACATGCAGTCACATCACGTATCTAATAAAAAAAGAAAAATCAGGGGCTTCCCTGGTGGCGCAGTGGTTGAGAGTCTGCCTGTCTATGCAGGGGACACGGGTTTGTGCCCCGGTCCGTGAAGACCCCACATGCCGCGGAGCGGCTGGGCCCGTGAGCCATGGCCGCTGAGCCTGCGCGTCCAGAGCCTGTGCTCCGCAACGGGAGATGCCACAACAGTGAGAGGCCCGTGTACCACAAAAAAAAAAAAAAAAAGAAAAATCAATACTGAGCACGTGAAATATACAAGTTGCCCTGGAAAAGAGTAACTGTCGGAACAACTGTGAGATCTTAATTAGTATAAGGAAATCTTGAAGAACACTTATGAATAGTTAAAGATTTATTTGTGTTATGGTTTTCTAATGATGTGGATGCAAAATATAGTGTGAATGTGAAACAGTTTTGATCTCTGAGGACCTCGCAAAGATAGGACTATCCTCCTAAAGAGACAGAATAGTGTGTAGTCTCCATACTGCGTGTTACATCTCAAGAGAACTTTCCAATGTGCCCAAAATAACACATGCGTACATACATACACACATACACACACACACACACACACACACACACATATACACACTCACTTGGACACTCCCTTTATTTCTGAAAGTCACTTTGAGGTTTTAGTTTAAGCCAAATAGGCTAAGTGCATTTCTTAAAATCTCAAAAGCCCAGAGGAGAAGTGACCTTTAGTCCCTGGAAGGATGAATGAATTTATGTTTCAGAGACAATTCTGCTTAGGGAGCAGGGCTGAGAAAGGGCATAACAGGGATGGAGGAAGAACAGGTGAGTGGCAACTCCGTGTACCTCTATGTAGACCAGGTGGCACGTCACCTTTGTCACAGTTTTGTCGTTGGTAGAAGGAGCACTCTCCTCTATTTAGAATTATCAACCCTGAGAATAACAGGAGAATAGAAAATATCACAGTCAAAAAGTCTTTTCTCCAAATCTTCCCAGCAAGAAGTTGGGGGATAATGATATTCATACAAGTCCTATAGGTGTTACAGAATTAAATCTTCTTTCAATGTGTCATTCTTTCTCTTATGGTGACTAACTGCCCTCTTTCTTGACTGAAAACAAATATTTATGGCCCTTCCATTACTAACAGAAATATTTTTAAATTACAAATACAGCTCTACTAATGGTCTGTTGAAGGCCATACCACATGCCAGTATAATAAAATTTCCATTTTAAGTCAAATAAGACTTGTTAGAATGTGAGAAAGTTGTATTTCTCATGATGGCATACAAAACAATTTATTATTAATCATCAGATGCTACAGAACGAAGATCACAGAAGAAAATGATTTATTATAGGGGTAATATATTTGGTTTTATTTTTTTCTTCTTGTTAGTTTTTCTGATGGCGCCCCTTACCAAGGGGCATCTAAAAATGTCTTTTCACTACTGAGAGTGGTACTATTCTTATTTACTTATTAACAATTTTACAAAGTTAAGTGAACATGGGAAAGTATTGTTTTAAAGCAATTTGTGACAGAAACTTTTGTCCTTACACTATTCAATGAGCTTAATCCATTTGGTTTATCTCTCTCAAAAGAAAATGGATGTCTTTGGGTATTTGGAAACTGTGTCTAGAAATTGCCTTGTGTTTAATTTTTTTTATTTTCTTTTAAAACTATCTATAAAACTTATCATGTGATTTAATTTCACTGGAATTTATTTGTGAAGAAATACCAGACTTCTTAAAACAAACCTGAACTCCCTTTTCTCCAACACACACACACACAGAAACACACACATTTGATAATATAAACTTTTTGATTTTGAAATCTACTCTGTTATAAATCAAAGTACACTGAATAGTGCACAGAGTGAAGTAGGTCAGAAAGAGAAAAACAAATACCGTATGCTAACATATATATGGAATCTAAAAAAAAAAAAAAGGTTCTGAAAAACCTAGGGGCAGGACAGGAAGAAGACACAGACGTAGAGAATGGACTTGAGGACGCGGGGAGGGGGAAGGGTAAGCTGGGACGAAGTGAGAGAGTGGCATTTACATACATGCACTACCAAATGTAAAATAGATAGCTAGTGGGAAGCAGCCGCATAGCACAGGGAGATCAGCTAGGCGCTTTGTGACCACCTAGAGGGGTGGGATAGGGAGTGTGGGAGGGAGAAGCAAGAAGGAGGGGATATGGGGATATAAATATACACATCGCTGATCTACTTTGTTATGCAGCAGAAACTAATACCACAATGTAAAGCAATTATACTCCAATAAAGATGTTAAAAAAAAAAAACTACATGTGCATTTAATTGTGCCTCAAATGTGAGACTTGTCCCCCCCACACACACCTAAGTCTGCTGCCCTATATTGTGAAATACATAAACAAAAGATTTAAATCACTTAGACTATATCTGGCCTTGTATCTACATTGTTGCACAACACATTCCTAAAACCAGGAAACACTAGTTTGTGAAAACACCGCTTGTTGTAGTATTGTTGCCTTTTAATAACCTCGGCAGTCTTCAAAGGATGTTCATTGGGTCTAAAATTAAAATTGATTCACTTGGCTAAAGTCTGTTCTCTTGGAACACACTGGAGTGTTCCTGATGCCTGTGTGTATATCTAAACCTATTTATAATGTAAGAGGATGAGCACGTAGCAACAGAAGTTTTATCTTGATATCATTTGATGCTACCATGGTTTGTTCAAAAGTATTCTCATAAAAGAAGCTGCAAGAATTATTTTCAGGACCGTGCATGGAAATGAGGCACATAATTCTGACTACAGTAGTGGGAGTGGTGTGTTTAATTCCACCCACACACCCTTATTAACTGAAAGCATTATTTCCAAGCTGCAAGACTTCAAAATCCTGGTTCCAGCAGCTATGCTGTCTGCCAGTATCCCAAAAAACTTTATTTCCCTAAGGTTTCCACAGTATGACATATTTGGATCATGTTCAGTTCTTACCTTCCCCTGTGTACATTTGTTTCATGTATTTTAATTGTTCTCTTATCTGCACATAGATATTAATTCCAGAATGTACAAATAGGCACCATTGTGATTTCCCCACCACACTTTATATGATAACATCACTTATGAATGCTATTTACAAGTTTCCAGGCAGACGTGGGGTTGATCTAAACTTGTGGGAAAACAGCATGCAGATATCTGCTTTCAGTTTGTGTGCATGTTTCCCCCTGTTATTTTCCCTTTTTTATGACTGTATTAATTGTTAGCAGAAGTCTCTGTGCAATGACTGAGCAATCCAGCAATGGAATGTAGCAGGTGAGAAATTATTGTTTTGCTTCATTTGAGAAACGTGTCGATACAGCCTAATTCTTATGTCTTGGGACATTTGTGTAGTGATTCACCACTTAATTCTCAGCATGTGGGCACTAGCTGACCACCGGGACATGAACTGTCCTAACATTGATGTTTTATCGACCCATTTGACACGATACTTGCAGAAATGATGAATCAAAAACTAACCCATCACTAAGGGAAACGGGACATGTGGGAATTGGTATGTTGCACCTCACTGAGTCTTAAGGCATTAAGGCTAAGGATTAATCCAAAGAGGCCGTGAAGGGCATCAAAGCCATACCCTAGCCTCATGCCTCAGTGAGTTAGCAGCAGAATGGAGAGCAAAGGGCCCTGCGGTCTAATCCAGAGCATTGACTTACTATTTGGTCAGGTTTATTTCCATAAATTTCTTTTGACACACAATGCGATACTTCTTTCATTGAAAAAGAGAACTTTAAAAAAGTATAAATAAAATTACTAACCACTTAAGAATATGGTTTCAAAGGATATGAATAAAAGCCATAATTTTTAAAGCCTGTAACCATGAGTAATCTAGGCTGAAAGACCCTGACAGAGTTACAGTGAGACCAACACTGAGGCTTTGAATGTAGTCAATTAAAGGAGATGGCATGGGTCTTTAGACTGAGATAAAGTGTAACGTGAACTAGTCGATGAAGAAATAACATGACAAGGAAATGCCTCTGAACCCTTCCTAGTGCAACATAATTGCTACTGTCACCTCTGCAAACAGTTCAGGTGAATATACAACTTTCCACTGATCTAGAAAATGGATGGAATATTCAGTTTCTTTCTCTCTCTCTCTTTCTCTCTCTCTCCCTCTCTCTCTCTCTCTCTCTCTTTTACATGTTACCAATTGTTTTAATCCTAATTGCATTTTAGAAACATCCAAGAAAGTTTTAAAAATACTAATGCCTAGACTCATCCAGAGAAATTGAGGCAGAGTCTCTAGAAGTGTGGTTGAGGCATGGGTATTTTTAAAACTCCCCATGTGACACCAATGAGTATCCAAACTTGAGAGAATTTTGGAGGTTCTAATCAATAGCTTACTCAGTGTAAACAGCAGCGTGAGATACATGAGTATGTTATGTATCTATAAACAAATTCCCAGAGTAGATTACAAGCTCCCCCCAAATAATTTGTTCCGTAGTAATATTAAACAGTCACTGCAAACTGCTTAGTAACTGTTTGGGGTTTTTATTTTGCCTTCTTTCATTTTCCTTTTCTTCTCAACCAAATCAGAGGGAAAATCCCTTATGCTTTCTAAAAACAAGAAAAAACCAGATTGATTAACAATACTACACTTATGTGTACATTTATTTATAGGGAAATGTTTCTGCATTATGCTACTAAGTGACAAATGATTGTCCACACGGGTCAATCTTCTTTCCTTTATAGAATACAACTCTCAGCATCCATCTATAGAGTCAACTGCTATCTTCACTCACTGTTAAAATAAAGAGTCCTTTTTCTTGCCTCTGTCCATACAGGCTGGCTACATTTACTTAGTACAAAAGATGAAAATATAGTAATGTAGCAAGAGCAATAAATGATGGCTGCTAATCTTTGGCCTCATGCACACTCCCACAAATGTTCACTCAGAAAGTGTTTAAGAAATGTTTCCTGAGTGCCATCAGGTGCATAAGAGAAGATCATGTTGGATTCCCTGGAGCTGCTCCATAAATTTATACTCTGAGTAATTTTGCATTTGTGGAAAGCAGATGGTAAGAAGGGATCAGACTTGCAAGAGATCTGTTAACACCTAGGAGCTTGAGAAAGAAAGGAGAACCTTCAAAACATGATGTAGATCTGATATCCATGGAAGGACAGAGGAAAGGAAGGTAGAATGAATAAGAAGAGTCTCAGACTACATTGCAGTTCCAAGAAAGGTTTGGTAAAGCCAATGGGGCATCCTAGAGCCAAACTCACCTGTTGGGGCAGTCTTGTATTCACAGGAATGGCCCGCTTTCTTGGCCACACCAGGCTCTGTCCTGTGCTGGTAACAGTAACTGGAGCCATCAGTCAATCATGATCCCTGTAATAGGAGATCTGAGTGTCATGTTTCTAAGGTTACCCCAGTCCATCCCTGTGCTACATATATCCATTTCTCCATGATGCTTGGTGGCTCAGCTCCACCATGGTTCCTATGGGCTTATCTTCCCAAAGAGAACCTTAAAAGTGGAAGGTTAGTGAGATGAATAACAGTCCCTCTCTTTGCAAGTGGTCTCAGGGCTACAACTGGTACTCATCCTTGCCCTTTCTCCAGTACCAGTTCTAAATACAACTGACCTGATAAAATGGACCAGAGATCATCTGAATGTGCAGAAGTTGCACTACAGGAAAGGAACTTTGAAAGGATGAGACTTGGAGCTTATGTAGGGTGGCTGGCACTTCTAATGTTCCTCCTCTCTGAGAGGTGGAGCAACTGAGAGAGAGAGAGAAAGAGATGAGAGACTTGGACTGTACAGCATAAACAAGTCCCCTTTATGCTGCTTCTAACTGTAATCAAATGGCTCTGCTCTGGGGGAGATAAAAAAGTGGAGTCCAGATTTATTACATTAGAATGCAAGCAAATGGCACTTGAGCAATGCATAATCTGTAATTCCCAAAGCCTGTTTACCATCCAATTATCCTTCCAGTGGTCCCCAACCTTTTTGGCACTAGGGACCGGTTTCGTGGAGGACCATTTTTCCACGGATGGGGGGGGGGGGGCTCAGGCAGTAATGTGAGCGATGGGGAGATGGGGAGATGGGAAGAGCAGATGAAGCTTCGCTCCTGCTGTGAGGCCTGGTTCCTAACAGCTGCGGACCAATACCAGTCCATGGCCCGGGGGTTGGAGACCCCTGCTTTACACAGATTTCTAGTAATCTTTGCTTGGAAAGCTGTGACACTGCAGAAAAATGGAACTATTCACAAAGCCTTGTTTCGCACCATCACTTCATCTTGACAAGGTGACTCAAACTTTCATTTCTGAGGTTCTGAGCTCTTGTCAATTAGACAGCTCTTAGGCCAAGTCTTCAGAGTATGTTTGGACACTATTACCATGGGTCCAGGGAGTATCAAGGGGTGTTCAAGTATGTCACCTGTGTTCCATATGGTTTCCTCCTTGACTGCATATTGTAAAAACAGCCCTAATCCCTCTTACTGATCAAGATTGATTACTCCTACCATTATGGTGACTTTTCTGTACACCTACTGATCGTCCCAATTTTCCTGGAACTACTGGGGACATGGTGCCATATAAAGCATGTGCTCTGATTTAGTGCAAACACTACATCTGGAAGGACAGCATTCTGTCCATTCAGAGTTTGCCTCCAAGGTGGTGATTTATCCATGTCTTTAGAAAGCCATTCTAAAGCCAGAAATTGTGTTTCCAAGTCAATGGGTCATGACTTACCCAGTCTTAAACTCCAGACTCCTTGATCAACACCATTAAAATCCAATTCCAGGGTTGCTTCCTTGACTCCTTCTTGTACTCACTAGCTATTTTTGCAATTTCTCCAATATGTAATCTCTTTTCTCTTTTATCAGACCTTGTACATCCTTAGCCAAGTTATGCTGAGATTTAAACTAGTCCTCAGCTTGTGGGCCAGCAAAAGTGGTATTGGAAGCTACTGAAAGGTCACAAGTTCCTTATGGTAGACAAGCTTTTGCAACGTCTTCCAAAAGGAGAAGTGCTAGCTTTGGATGAAAAAATGTGGGACATCTCTTTAAACTCATAGTGTTCAGGAGTCTGCAGAGTCATATTCTCAGACATTCCTCCAGAAGTTCCATCCCTACTTTCAGGTTCAAAGGTGTTAAGATCTGCCTTGTCAGGGTATTCAAATATCTCTTGATCTCCACTCTGACAGATCTTTGGTATACTGCTCAGCCTTTACTGTTGGAGGTAAGGGCTGTTTTGTAAGTTACTAAAGAGGTCTCTAACTGCTTGCTAATTGCCCTTTGTTTCTCATTATCCCTCCACAAAGAGTCAATACAGATTAGCAGTAACAAACAACTCTGCTCTATTTATAGTCATAGTTCCCACCATATCTTACAAACGCCAGAATCACTTACAACTTCAAGGATATTTCCCTCCACAAGTTTATTTCCCTGCATCTTAAACAGGGAAATATTTAGTTAGTGGGTAATCATCTTGTGTTTGGAACTGTCTATGCCCCAAAACTAGTCAGAATGATGTACTTTTCACCAGCACAGTAGATAGTGAATCAATCTCAAATCCTCACTTTACCACCAGTTTTCTTGAACTATTCTATTTTCCATTTACATTAGTGTGGGTTCTCCAAGATGCTGAAGTCAGTATGGGATTAGAGATGAAAGTGGGATGGAGGGGCAGCAGAAGAAAGGGGAAAGAATCTTCAGCTTATGATATAAATATCAATCTCGTGTAAGAAAATGGTGATTGGAATGAAGGTTATTGTAGGACATGTCGCAGATTACAGTACAATTTGAAGAATGCTGGGGTTGGGTAGCTGAGTGCTCTCAAGACAAAGTTGTGCCTTGGAAGAGCCCTGCTTTTCACTGAAATGGGTCCACCTTAGGACTTCCTCTGTGCTTGGTCATTGGCTAGGAACAGGACATAGAATATATGGTCTCAGTGTTAGTGCAGTGGTGAATCCACAGGGGCAGCAACTAGTATCATTGGACAGTTATGTTCCTCAGAGCATGAGATCTGACTGGTCTATTTTCATAAACACCTCTACATGTAAGTCTAAGTAAATTGTATTCAGGTAGGTTCCTGTTACCAAAACCAAAGAAGGAAATTCAAAAGGTGCCAAGTAGACCCTAATATTGATTTATACAGGAGAACTCCATGGGAAATCAACTTACCTCTTGCACTGAGAAGAATCAACACCATCTCTTGGTGAGACTTCTGGGATCACACTTAAAAAAGAGAGAGAAAGAGAAGAATTTCACTTGACACATATTGGGTTCAAGGTACTGGTGGGAATCTGAAAAATATTGAAAATGTCCAAAAGAGTTGGGAAAGTAGAATGCAAGCTGGATAGACAATTTAGGAAAAGTAATTCCAATTTTTATCCTCTAGGTGCTTTATTGGAATGCATAGTAGATATAAAGACACGGAAGAATGATATAAATATAGTGTGTGTGTGTGTGTGTGTGTGTGTGTGTGTTTAAGGCATGATTTAGCATCACTAATTTAATCTCATGAATGCCAATAAATTAAAAGTTGAGATGCAGAAAGTGGCTTGAGAATACAAAAATAACACTATAGATTATTTTTTAGTTCCATGAATTGCTTATATGTGGAATCCTAAAATAAACTGTGTTTTCAAGATGCCCTCAGGCTACATCCCTCAATGAACATATTTTCAAAGAGAACAGATACAGAAGTATCACTTTTAAATTCTGATCTTGACAAAACATTGTGAGTAAACATAGGTAAAACATACCCAGTATTTCTGTTTTAAGACAGCAAATTCTCTTTATAAGACATGGACACACATATATGCAGATATAGATTTATCTAGATCTCTCTCTATATATATAAGAAATTATTAAATAAAATTATACATTTGAAATAAGAGCATTAATTCATGAAAATCATGCCAAATACATGAATACAAAGCTTTTCAAAACTTTTTCAGTCTTAGAGCAAATGTAAACTTCAAAAGTTTCAGGTATATAAATGAAAACAGCCAAGCTAAAAGGAAAAAAAAAGAAGCCGGTTAAAAGTATCTTCTCAAACATTCTAGGGTGCCCCAGGATGAACCATTTAGAAAGCCAAGATCAGAGCAGATCTCTGAATGTAGATCAAGTTTTATCAAAGCCAACTACTTGGTCTGCAAGTGGAACAAAAGACATAGTTTAACAAATGCAGAAATAATGAGGGTTTCAGATTTCTAACCGAGGCTCCAAAAGATATACTCCAGTCTAAAATATCAAAGCATGGGAGTTCACAACTGAAACTACTATTGCCACATAGAATTTCTGCATACCATAGGCAGAATTTATAAAAGCAAAAATTTCAGTCACTTCCTCTTTGTATTTCTTGAATGAGAAGAAAATATATGCTAGATCTAGCCTACAAGAAATTTGCAAATTTCAGTATTTATGTTGGTTGACCAAAGAAATCTGTTGATTCTATGGAAAATTAAAGTCATTACTCTCCCACAGATTCTCAAGATGCTAAATTTCAAAATACTGGCACCAGTCACCAAAAGACCATATTTCAAGGTTGCAAATTTGAAGTTGTGTCTTGGGTGATGGTAATACGTTACAATGAAATATAAAAATGCATATAAATAATAAGGATAACTTAATTAATTATGCAAAACTTTTTTTTGAGATCTCAAAATAACTTCAATCACTTTCTTGTCCATCTGGTTCCAGGCATATGAAATAGAATCAGATCTATATCATCATGAATTCATGTGCTTGATCTTCTATTTGTTATCTAGGTGAGTTAATTCATATAAATCTCAATTTCCACATATTAACATTGAGAATACTATTATTACTCACCTTGTAGTTAAGATGCAATAATAAAACTAAACCACAGTGGCTTATTGGATGCCTTAAAAATGTAGTCAGTACTATATTGTTATTAATACCTTCACATTAAGTATGTAACAATTTGAATGTTCAAATAATTATATAATTACTTCTTTATTAAATAAATATGCATTTTCAATGTATTTCCATTATGTTGTCTTTTGATTGCTGAATTTTTCTTTTTTAACAATTAAAGCAATAGTTGCCCAGATTGGTTCCAGATGGTGGAGTAGAAGGACATGCACTCACTCCCTCTTGCAAGAGCACCAAAATCACAACTAAATGCTGAACAGTCATCAACAGGAAGACACTGGAACTCACCAAAAAAGACACCCCACATCCAAAGACAAAGGAGAAGCTGCAGTGAGATGGTAGGATGGGCACAATGACAATAAAATCAAATCCCATAACTGCTGGGTGAGTGACTCACAAACTGGAGAACAATTATACCACAGAAGTCAACCCACTGGAATGAGGGTTCTGAGCCCCATGTGAGGCTTCCCAAACTGGGGGTCTGGCAATGGGAGGAGGAGTTCCCAAAATATCAGACTTTGAAGTCTAGAGGGATTTGATTGCAGACTTCAACAGGACTGAGAGAAACAGTGGCTCCACTCTTGGAGGGCACACACAAAGTAGTGTGTGCATCAGGACCCAGGGGGAAGGAGTAGTGACCCTATAGGAGACTGAACCAGACCTACTTGCTAGTGTTGGAGGGTTTCCTGCAGAGGCAGGGGTGGCTGTGGCTCACCACGGGGACAAGGACACTGGCAGCAGAAGTTCTGGGAAGTACTCCTTGGCATGAGCCCTCCCGGAGTCCACCATTAGCCCAACCAAAGAGCGTGTAGCCTCCAGCACTAGGTCACCTGAAGCCAGAAACCCAACAGGGAGGGAACTCAGCCCGATCCAACAGCAGACAAGCAGATTAAAGTTTTACTGAGCCCTGCCCATCAGAGGAACAACCAGCTATACCCACCACCAGTCTCTCACAACAGGAAGCTTCCACAAGCCTCTTAGATAGCCTTATCCACCAGAGGGCAGACACCAGAAGAAGAACTACAATCTTTCAGCCTGTGGAACGAAAACCACACTCACAGAAAGACAGACAAAATGAAAAGGCAGAGAACTAAGTACCAGATGAAGGAACAAAATGAAACCCGAGAAAAACAACTAAATGAAGTGGAGCTAGGCAACTTCCAGAAAAAGATTTCAGAATAACGATAGTGAAGATGATCCAGGACCTCAAAAAGAATGGAGGCAAAGATCAAGAAGATGCAAGAATTGTTGAAAAAAGACCTAGAAGAATTAAAGTACAAACACCTAGAATAATTAAAGAACAAAAAAACAGATGGACAATACAATAACTGAAATGAAAAATACACTAGAAGGAATCAATAGCAGAATAACTGAGTCAGAGGCATGGATAAGTGACCTGGAACACAGAATGGTGGAATTCACAGCAATGGAACAGAATAAAGAAAAAACAATGAAAAGAAATTAAGACAGCCTAAGAGACCACTGGGACAACATTAAACGTACCAACATTCTCATTATAGGGGTCCCAGAAGGAGAAGAGAGAGAAAGGACCCGAGAAAATATTTGAAGAGATTATAGTCAAAAAATACCCCAACATGGGAAAGGAAATAACTACCCAAATACAGGAAGTGAAGAGAGTCCCAGGCAGGATAAACCCAAGAAGAAACATGCTGAGACACACAGTAATCAAACTGACAAAAATTAAAGACAAAGGAAAGTTATTAAAAGTAACAAGAGAAAAACAACAAATAACATACAAGGGAACTTCCATAACGTTAACAGCTGATTTCTCAGCAGAGACTCTAGAATCTAGAAGGGAATGGCATGATATATTTAAAGTGATGAAAGGGAAGAACCTACAACCAAGATTACTCTACCAGCAAGGATCTCATTCAGATTCGATGGAGAAATCAAAAACTTTACACACAAGCAAAAGCTAAGAAAATTCAGCACCACCAAACCAGCCCTACAACAAATGCTAAAGGAACTTCTCTAAGTGGGAAACACACAGAAAAAAAGGACCTACAAAAGCAAACCAAAAACAATTAAGAAAATTGTAATAGGAACATACGTATCAATAATTACCTTAAATGTGAATGGATTAAATGCTCCAACCAAAAGACACAGTCTCGCTGAATGGATACAAAAACAAGACCCATATATATGCTGTCTACAAGAGACCCATTTAAGACCTAAGGACACATACAGACTGAAAGTGAGGGGATGGAGAAAGATATTTCATGCAAATGGAAATCAAAAGAAACCTGGAGTAGCAATACCATATCAGACAAAACAGACTTTAAAATAAAGAATGTTACAAGAGATAAGGAAGGACACTATGTAATGATCAAGGGATCAATCCAAGAAGAAGATATTACAATTATAAATATATATGCACCTAACATAGAAGCAGGTCAATACATAAGGCAAATGCTAACAGCCATAAAAGAGGAAATCGACAGTAACACAATAATAGTGGGTGACTTTAACACTTCACTTACAGGAATGGACAGATCTTCCAGACAGAAAATTAATAAAGAAACACAAGCTTTAAATGACACAATAGATCAGAAAGATTTAATTGATATTTATAGGACATTCCATCCCAAAACAGCAGATTAAATTCTTCTCAAGTGTACATGGAACATTCTCCGGGATAGATTACATCTTGGGTCACAAATCAAGCCTCAGTAAATTTAAGAAAATTGCAATCATATCAAGCATCTTTTCTGATCAAAACACTATGAGATTAGAAATAAATAACAGGGGAAAAAAGTAAAAAAACACAAACACTTGGAGGCTAAACAATATGTTACTAAATAACCAAGAAATAACTGAAAAAATCAAAGAGGAAATCAAAAAATACCTAGAGACAAATCACAACAAAAACATGATGATCTAAAACCTAGAGGATGCAGCAAAAACAGTTCTAAGAGGGAAGTTTGTAGCAATACAATCCTACCTCAAGGAACAAGAAAAATCTCAAATAAAAAACCTAAACTTACATCAAAAGGAACTGAAGAAATAAATGCAATAGAAACAGAGAAAACAATAGCAAAGATAATAAAACAAAAAGCTGGTTCTTTGAGAGGACAAACAAAATTGATAAACCTTTAGCCAGATGCATCAAGAAAAAGAGGGAGAGGACCCAAATCAGTGAAATTAGAAATGAAAAAGGAAAAGTTACAATGGACACTGCAGAAATACAAAACATCATAAGAGACTACTACAAGCAATTTTATGCCAAGGACAACCTGGAAGAAATAGACAAATTCTTAGAAAGGTATAACCTTCCAAGACTGAACCAGGAAGAAATAGAAAATATGAACAGACCA